AGACTGTGACAAACTGCGAAATCAACTATGTGCAAAGGTGAACAATACGAAAACAAAGCATAGCAAGGATGAAAAGTGAAACAAACAATCAAGTGAACATGTAAAACGCGACCGGCAGCTAAACTGTATCGGCCACTTATATAAGTAAGCGAATAACAATTACCAGTAAGCATGAGAATTTCACCGATAAGCTATAGCTAACAAAACAATAAATGGAAAGTTCGTATACTCCGGCCTCAGCAACTGAGCAAAGCGTCATTATTGATACTGAAGTTATGGAGCCATCGTAATCTTCTTCTTCCGTATTCCTAGTTCTGGTTTCAGCTAATTCTTTTCTTGGTCGGCGTTCCATTTCGTTGCTTCCTCTTCTCGCTTGTCAGCTGTGAAGAGTTTTCCATAGTCAGTTTGATGGCGAAGTTCGAGTCGACCGTCGTCGCAGTTCGGATTCGTCGCGATTTCCAATAACAACTTCCCTCGTTGCCTTCTGTGGAGTTTCGTTATCTGGACTATGAGAGTGGCTTTCCACCTGTGGCGATCTAGGTCGTACTGCATACCAGAGCAGTGCAATATTGCCTCCGTTCGGCGACTATTTCAGTCCTCCTTCGCTGTATCGGATATTGTGCTGCTCTCATGAGCGCGAGAGTTTGACATCGTTTCCATGTCTGTGAGCGTCATCCTCAATCCATCAAAAACAATAGCGAGCACTCCGAGCGTTTCGTGCAGCGATTTCCTAATGCGGCGCATACTCCTCTCGTAAAACATACGCCACGGTGCGCAAGTGGTGATATGGCTCCACTTTCATCCTCGCCATGCTATTCCGCTACCGGATTACACCATGTTTTCTGTGGCTTTGGAGATCGCTCACTCACCAAAACCGTTGGTGCCCGTCACTGGTAGTAAGCCGACGTTCATCCCTCCTTGCCGAGAATCTCCTCGCTTTACCTACTGTGCTGTTGGGGCTCCTTAGCGTATCTGCTTATGAACCTCTCTGCGCCTGACGTGGGAGCTCTTGTTGCTGCGCTTTGCTCCACGCTCCGCAGGGCGCATAATTTGATGCGAATGGAGTTCGTACACTCCAGCCTGTCCAGTGCGATTGACTGGTTATTTCGCTTGCCTCTTCTGGCTTTCTTCCTCTTTGCCCGTACAGGTTGTCTTTTTTGACCAATTCCCGTACTCGTTTGCGCTCTTTTCTCTTCAGTGTTTCTTCGAGTCCCAATGCGACGTTTCTCCGCCATTTTCGCCTTCGCTTTCTCTTTGGAAGCTCGTTGCTGTGCTTGATTTTCTTTTCAACTGTGCGGATACGAGGTGTTGTCCTTGCTTACTGTAATCTCGCCAACTGACTTGCTCCTTTTTCTTTGGGAACGCTGTTTTTGTTCGTTTTCCCGGCCGATGCACCAGTTGTACGATAGTTCTATGTGTGTGATATGTGCTGCCACGCGGAACTTTGCGGCTGTGGTTTGCTTGGGCGCACAGTGACACCTCA